CCAAGTCATAGTCAGGTGCCGACGCGCAGCCGCAGGCGAAGACGACGGGCGACGCAGATGAGCGCAAGCCACGCTAAAGAGGCAGGGCTTAGGGTTTAGGGTTTAGGGTTTAGGGTTTAGGGTTCAGGGTTTAGGGTTTAGGGTCTAGGGTCTAGGGTGTAGGGTTTAGAAGGCTACAATACCAACTCCGGTGACATCCATGGTTCTATGGCTCCTCTGGGCTCAGCAACCTGTACCACTAGCTCACCAAGGGTGCAGTAAGGTGCGTCTTGCAAGCCCTGACAGGGTGGACTGCCAGAGCTGATGCCGTGGTCACCACGGCGCATTTGCCATAGCTTGCAGTAGGCGGGTTGTCAGCGTTCTCCGCCACTTGAAATGCTGGAGGACCTGGCAGACCTAGCAACTTACCAGGTGGCGAATATGGACCCTGGTCTGAAACCAGAAGGGTCGTCGCCGCTTAGGTTTGTTTCGATTTGTTGTTTCTGAACCTAGATTTTGGGGTGGTGCTCAGCATCAATCAGCAGCTACGATGTTGGCGTGATGCTGCCTAGATGCCTTTTGATCGTGTCATGCCACTAAACGTGCGCACTGGGCGCCCGACCCCCGTTTTCTCGTAGGAACTCATGGTGCAAGATGCCCCAAGTCATCTGGGAAGCATCAGCAAAGATTACGCAGCCCCGCCCCAAATTTTGCCCGCTGTCTCTCCACAGCTCGATTGCCAAGAACGTGAAAGGTTCCTGTTTAAGTTGGCGGTGTCTTGTCTCCGCGACGTGCATGCGTGGAGAAGCGCTGGCTCTAGTGTTTAGGGTTTAGGGTTTAGGGTTTAGGGTTTGGGGTTTGGGGTTTGGGGTTTAGGGCAAAATAGGGTTTAGGGTTTAGGGGGGGTTTGCAGTGCTGGCGTGAGGCAGCTTTCTGGTTCCAAAAGGGGGGGTGTCTTGCAACAAGGCCCATTTCGGTGGCGCAAGTTGCCCCAAGCGATCCCAAGCATGAACCGAAACAGGGTCGACGAGTCTGACCACTTCTTGTCAGAACCACATAGCGATGTATATTTACGTCCACTGGCACGGCTTGGCAACAACGGACCGCGAAATCTGGCTCCCACACGTGTCGATTTCACAGTTTGCCCCAAATCCCAAAGCCTTGTGAAACAAGGCTTGAGTTTTTCAAAGTTTTTTGATCCCCCCCCCCCCTGCTCCCCCACAAATTGCGGCGCTCTCTCGCGAAATCCCGGTGACCTGGACCGCGCTGCCCCTTTTTCTTCATTTTTTTCGTGTTTTGTTGGGAGGGGAAGGGAGATCCTTGTTCCCCAAACTCCAAACACTTACATGTATATGTACCGGGATGCCAGTTTGGCATGTTGACAAGAGGTCGTATCCTTTTCGACTCGATTGGCGGCATGAGCTTTAAATCAGCCTATGGTGGGTTTCGAATGGCAATCGAGGAGTTGAGCCGCTTTTTGATAGGCGCAAAGAGCAGGGTGTCGTAGAGACTTGCTCAGCACGGTCCGACGCATGTTTTTCCCACCCGACGACGAGAGATGTTGGCACTCCCCTCAAGTCTCCCGTACCCTTTAAGGGCATATATATATATATCCCCCAATATACCCTTTAAAGGATTATATATTATGTACCCTTTAAGGGCAGCAACATCTGGCTGAACTGAGCGCGGACCATGCCGGCATGGTATTCTATTCGGCCCACCTTTTTCGCAACAATTCGAGTGCATTAAGTTCACGACAATCGCCGCATGATCCTGAACTGGCCGCCGGCCTTCATGCAATCTGGGGTAGCATTCATCTGCGTAAGTGGCATTTAAGAGCATGATGTTGCGCACCGTACATATATATATATATATTTATATACGAATGGTCCGGTGCCAGCAGCGGTTGGTGTTTACCCCGCAGCTTCGTCAGCTAGGCTGGTGACAACCAACAAAGAACCTGTATCCTCCTTTGGAATTATTGTGTTGTTTATATAAAACCCTTTTTTAAGGTTCTAAGGGGAGTATAGGAACTACCTCCTGCGGCCCCAGTCTGGCTCAGTGGGTCATGCGGAAGCGCACATCACAGTTTGACGACAGGTTTGGGAAGCAGACGTTACAGTGCAAGCTTGTGACATGGGCTTGCTGAAGCTTCGCCGCTGGAAGCTTCGGAATCAACTCCCGATACTTTCTTCAAGAGCCGGATGCTACATATATCTGCTGGGGTTCTGTTCAACGTGCACCCTGGACAAACTGACTGGGCCCTAAACCCTTAACCCTAAACCCCAAACCCCAGTTGCCTTAAATCATGCGAAGCTGCGCCGCTGCTTATTCCAAACAGCACACCTTGAGATTGGTCGCCTGGGAAGGCTGCACCTTCGGCAGAATGGTCGTGGTAAGCGCAGAGAGAGAGAGAGAGACCTAGGAGCGCACGTGGACCACCATTCTGTTCTCGGGATGCAGCAGAGCCCAACTGGGACCTCTGATTTTTCTCTACTTTTTAAAGAGACATTCAGCAGACAGGAGCCACTTCCTCCAGGGCGGCATGGATGCATGAGGCACGTTGCCAGGAGGTGCGATTTCTCTGCTGAGTCTCGCGGCATGCCCCGCAAGCACGTTTGTTTGCTTGCTTCTTGGTCTTCTTGCGATGCTGGAAAAACTGGCCGGAGGCCAGTTGCGTTTCGAAACTGTTTCAAGGTTGTAGGGATCCGAGAACCCACGGCTCGAGTTTGTGAAGGCGCAGTAGGAGATAGGAACCCAGGTCGATGCACCGTTTCACCTAAACCCTAAACCCTATAAACCCTTAGGGAGTAAATTACACCTTAAGAAAAGGGAGCCGATCTTCTCTGCGTCGAAGCTTTCGGGCTTGGACCCTTCCCGTGTCCTGGGCAAGGTTTGGATGGCTGGTGGAAGCCCAGAAGCTTCGGGGGTTTAGGGTTTTAGGGTTTAGGGTTTTGGGTTTTGGGTTTAGGGTTTAGGGTTAAGGGTTAAGGCCTTATCCGGGTTAAGGCCTTAACCCTTAGCCCTTAACCCTAAGTTGATATTGGGTTGAGGGGTAGAGGTGTGTGGGCCGGAGACTCAGCAGTCCTTGGTTTGGGTTGTTTAGAGGTTCTAGAGCATTCAGGATTTACAGGCTTTAGGGCTCGCGCTGCCGCTGCAGTGGATATGTGTAGAAACCCCACCGCTCCGCAAGTTCTGCTTACTGTCTAGGAAGCCTCATAGGAGTCGAAAGAGAGCCCACCCCACCGAAGCCCTAAACCCTAAACATGCCAATGCTTGGGCCATGGAGTTCTTGAGTAGAGTCTAATTGCCCACCTGTCTGTTCCACCTGGGACAGGCCACGCTCCCCCCCTTGCTCGCGTTTGTCAAAGGCATGTTGCTGAGGCTGAAGGAAGCCTAAGCATCGGATTGGAGCTGTGACCACCTCCTGTCCGAACTTGCGCACATGGCGAGATGCACCTCAAACTGCCGATTCCATGCCGTCGGCGCCCAAGCATTCTTTCACCTTGCCGTGCGTGCGTGCGTGCGTGCGTGCGTGCGTGCGTGGGTGTGTGTGTGTGTGTGTACATGGTTGAGAACTGCACCTGGACATGCTCCGAACACTATCCTTGATGTGCAAGAACGTCTCGGTTTGTTGCTCTCCTGCACGCGCCCGCTCGGCGTCACTTAGGTAGTGTGATGATGTCCACTTGAGAGCGCACATTTCCGCCAACACCTTTTCCCGTGCTTGGAGGCCCATGGGTAGTTCTAAGTAGGGTGGTTATAACCAGTTTTTAGTATAGTTACCCTACTTATAACCCTACCTACAACTACCCATTAACCTCCAAACAAGAGCTCATTGTCCAGAGTCTCGTGCCACGTCGACAGGGCCTGAGCCTGTTCGATCTGCCCTTAGTTCCATAGGGTTGCGACTTTCCCACATGGCGCAGAGATGAACGGTGATGTCTAGGCTTGGGCCAGGCCTCTTAAACAGCTCGCTCCGGGATGTTTGACGGCAAAAACTGCAGCAGACAGAGGCGAGAAGCCAAAATGAGCCAAACAGCCGCAGCACTGATTGTGGACTTTGTTCCGGTCTTCTTGCCAGGCGCATCTTCGACAGTTGGCCCACACGCTCATCCCATGATTACCACTACAGGTCAAAAAAGGCCCGTGGCGAGGTGGCCCTCACAGACGTGCCCGTGATCACCTCTGCCGCCATCCTTGCAGCATGGCCTGAACTGTAAGACGGCAGCCTTAAGACTGCTGCGTGAAGGGCCGCACCCAAGGCAGATGTACCAACGTTACCCCGATAGACATGGGGGATCACGATCTTAGGTTATCAGGGGGTACCTTCTTGGGGTCCATATTTATGGGAATCCTTCCTTATTGGGGTCTTTAAAGATAAGGGAATCCTACCTTATTGGGGTCCTCATTATAAGGGAATCCTACTGTTTGGGGTCTATTTTAGGGGTCCCTTATCTTCGTAAACTCCCATTGACATGGTTTTTTCAAGTCCTGTCCCATCAGCAAGCTGGGAGACACGTCCGATATGCCCCTTGTCCAGCTTCGAAGAACCCCTCGGTTTAGGGTTTAGGGTTTAGGGTTTAGGGTTTAGGGTTTAGGGTTTAGGGTTTAGGGTTTAGGGTTTAGGGTTTAGGGCTGTTGGCCCAGCCATGCGCCTCTCACGACGAAGCCGGCGACTGCGCTGCTGGGTACGCCTCCCAAGGCCCCCGTGCTGCTTCACGGGTGAGCTCATGTGAGCGATTCCCCTAAACCCTTAACCCTTAACCCTGAACCCTTAAACCCTTAAACCCTTAAATCCTTAGACCCTTAAACCCTCAACCCTTAAATCCTTAGACCCTTAGACCCTTAAATCCTTAAACCCTTAAACCCTTAAACCCATGTAGCGGCTTCCTCCAGAAGCACGTGGTTGGACATGGCTTGGTACCAGTAGCGATGCCGAGCGCGCTGGGCCATGCATGATTCCCTTAGACTCCCGAAGCTGCATTGCTAGTGACTGCTTCCAGCTCCTGCATGTTGACATGTGCAATCCGGTGTCCAGCCCATTGATTAACCCTAAACCCTAAACCCTGAAACCCTAAACCCTAAACCCTAAAACCCTAAACCCTAAACCCTAAATCCTAAACCCTAAACCCAAACCCTAAACCGATAGCCGTAGAAGTTTGGCGCCTGCCCAGGCGGCTCCCACGACAGACAAGGTGCAGCGGGAGGCAGTTTGTTAAGTAGGTAGGCATGTTGTACTTTGATGTGATCGCTCACATTCACTAATGTGTGCTGGGTCAACACCTTCCCGCACCTGCCGCGGGCCACCCTAAACCCTAAACCCTAAACCCTGAACCCTGAACCCTAGACCCTAAACCCTAAACCCTCAGGACTGCGCAGGATGACCCGAAAGACGAAGCGGATCAGGCCGCCCTGATTATCGAGCCGTCAAGCGATTTGGGGCCTAGAAGGAGTGTGATCCTTGCATCTTGCGTCTTGCTCCACTGGAATATACCCAAAGCCCTAAACCCTAAACCCTATACTGTAGAGCAGAAGTATCATGTTACTGAGCCAGGGAAGGGAAGCCTTCTTCCGCGGTCCAAGCGGTGGCATGCATCATGAGGCATTATGAGGATCCATGCCCGAGGCATGTAGAAGGCAGGACTGATCCGACAGCTCACAAGGCAACTCGCATCCCGGTCTTGACCCTTAAGTCTTAAGACGGTTTAGGGTTCATATAGGGTTTAGGGTTTAGGGTTAAGGGTTAAGGGTTAAGGGTTAAGGGTTAAGATTTCCGAAGTCCCCTCAAACATGAACCTTTGGGTGACTGCTGCCCGTCATGTCCCCGAGTCCCTGTGCGAGTGGCACGAGCCACGTTTGTGCCTTGACAACACACCAATGACTTTGGCCTCTTTGGCCCAATCACCAGCACTTGCACGGCTCGCACTGAACAATGCCACGCACTTGCCACTTCGTCTAGAGTCGTAGGTGGAATTAACTGCTTCGCCAGAACTTGTCAGCTTGTCAAGCCGTCGAAGATGGTTTCTTGGAGCTTGCGGAGTAATCTTGTGGCATATGTACACGTTGTGTTTGAGTGGTCAACCAGAGCTAATTCCATAATAGTAGTACAAATGGACCCTCTGGGTCACTGCGTGAAGGCGGACATGCCATTTTGGGTGGACTGCTCTCCAGACAACTCGCTCATCCCAATGCCTGTCCACGCTCCGCGGCCTGCACGGAGTTTGTCATTGGCCTTTGTTTGTTGACAAGGCCCTAAACCCTAAACCCTAAACCCTAAACCCTAAACCCTAAACCGTCGGCGTCGACCTGGCACAGAACTTTCCAGTGCTGCACGTCGTGGCTGAGGCACCGACGTTGCCGCAAGCAACCGACAGCCGCGTGCTCGGTCAAACCATGCTGCTGCAGCCTGACAACACAGATCCACTGTCAGGTGGGACCAGCAATGGACATGCACCTGCCGACCTATCGACCGTGGAGGACCAGATCAGAGATCAGAGAGAATGGTTGCAGGGTGCCGCTGTTACAAGGACCTGGCATCTCAGCCGAGTTCTCAGCCGAGGGCCGAAGCGAACAGCAGCATTCCAGAGCCGCTTCGGCCAAACAGGATTGAACAATTCTGGACTGTGATGCTTGGAGGTTCTAACTTCTAACTGTAATTATTATAAGCCCCCCCCCAAGTCGTCTAAGTAGGTTGTAAGTATTACATTAGACTTCTGGCCTATAGACTAATACATGACTATACCTCAAGAACCCCAGAAAGCCTGCGTTCCTAGGCTCTAAAGCTTCTTCTCGGGTTCTGAAGGGCAACCTACGAAACATAGTATATAGGTTTGGAGGTCTTGACATCAGAGCAAGACCAGCCGCAGACTTTCTGGTGACCCAGCCTTGTCATTGTTGAGGGGTCTTAAGGAGGCCCTATGAGCAATGATTTAGGGTTGAGGGTTTAGGGTTTAGGTTAGGGTTTAGGGTTTAGGGTTTAGGGTTTAGGGCTGGTTGATGCTTCCGCCTTGCTTCGAGGTCCTCACGCCTCGCGTTCCAGGTTGTCCCCAGCACGCGGATTGAAGTCCCTGAAGCTGGGCTTCCCAGTGAAGTGCAGCCAGAGGTGCTTCCCGAGGCGGATGCGTAGCTTGCACGTTACTTGCTCTGAGACTAGGGAATTTTCGGGAGCGGTGTATCTTCTAGCCCAACCCACCCCCATTGCATACTCGAATTTTTTTTCCCGGCTAAGGTGAAGAGTAGGGTCTCGGATGGTTTCAGGCTCCAAACGAGGGTGGGGGCGCCTATGGTGCAGGTAGCCGAGCCCCTCTTCGGCTCCCTGGAGCAATTCTACAGAGACTTGGTGGCCCAGTGGTGCCCTTGACCCTTGTTTTTGGTTATGGGTTCCATTGAACCCTAAACCCTAAACCCTAAACCCCTTTTTTTTGGGGTCCCCTTTTATAGTAGGGCTACCAAGGAGAGAGCAAGGCCAGGCCGGAGGAGATGAGGCGCCGGGATGTCAAGGCGTCCTTCACGCTGAACCGCTACTATGCTCCTTGGATCGACTAGGGGACCGGCTTTTGGGGAAGAACCCCTAAACCCTAAACCCTAAACCCTAAACCCTAAACCCTCTTTTTTGGGTCCCCTTTTATAGTACGGCACCCTTATAGTAAGCACCCAACAAGGGAGCCGAACTACCCCCCTCCCATTTTTTGTTAAGCAAAGTCTTCGTGGATGCAGGGCATGCCACGCTTTCGTTTAGGGTTTAGGGTTCAGGGTTTAGGGTTTAGGGTTTAGGGTTTAGGGTTTAGGGTGTGCAAGTTTTAAGGTCAACGATGAGCCGATCCACAGCAAGAGCACGGAGACGAAGCCTGGAAACCAGGGGAGGAAGGGCCTGATGTCGGACGATGGCTACCTCACAAAGCTACTGAGCTGCAGGTGAGGTTTAGGGGTTTAGGGGTTTAGGGGTTTAGGGTTTAGGGTTTAGGGTTTAGGGTTTAGGGTTTAGGGTGAGGGGAGCACGAAGCAGAAGCAGCCATGCCTGGAGGTTCATGTACTTAAACGTAGGGATATACGTGGGGTAACTACGGATGTAACCTTATTTGGGGTACTTCCTACTTACAACCTCCACTTATAAGTACTTATAAGTACCCCGTGAACCTTCAAGTGGGCCGTGTGGACGCCCCAAAAACCCCTAAACCCTAAACCCCGAGCCCTCAACCATAAACCACTGAACCCCAGAAAGCCCTAAACCCCAAAGCAAAAAAAAACCCCAAAAAAACCCAAAAATTCCGCTGCAAAGGGAGGGCGCGAAGCGCTTCTGCATCGTCTGCTGCCGCAGCAGCCACCGGGCCTACGAGTGCCCCGAGACGAGGTTCGCGGTTTCGGGTTGAGGGTTTAGGGTTTAGGGTTTAGGGCCACGGTTCGTTCAGGGCTACTGCGGCTACTGTTCTTGCTTACTACAGTGTGCGGGTCTGTGAAATTGCGCAGGTGCTTCGTTTGCTGGTCGACCGGCCACAGTACAAAAACGTGTCCGAGCAAAGTGAAGTGTGCTTTGGTATGACTTGGACATTTTTTCCCTTTCTCTGAGTGAGAGGGAGAGGTGCCTCACCGAAGAACCTGCGTACCGATCGCGTCTCGGCGCGACCCCCCTCAAGGGCTGAGCGCTGGAGGGAAGAGACAGGGCTGAAGAACCGAAGAGGGAGTGGAGACGGTTTGAGGGAGGACAGAGATGTTCATCCAAGGTAAGTGGTGCAACCGGAAGGGTCACGAGGAGGAGGATGGGATTCACAGGATTGCTATAAGCTGCTAGGGGTGGTTTCGGACCTTTGGATCAGCACACTACAGTTGAGGTCTGTCCAATTCGACAGCTACGAGCTGCCGAGAAGAGAAGAGAATGGACGGAGGTCTGTGGGGCATGCTTCAGGGGCACTGGGTGCATCGTTGTGCTACGTGACATGCCAATATGAAGTTGTAGCCTCGCGATGCTCACGCAGGACCTGTTGAGATATGCTGTGACCCCATGCAGCCATGTGAAATTCCAGGTCCGATGCCTCGTTTGTCGCGCGTCAGGCGCAAATCCATGAATGCTAAACCCTAAACCCTAAATCCTAAACAGACTTCCGTGCTTCACCCTGACAGGCCACCTAGCGTGTGACGGTACCGGAAGGTGGTGGGGCGGCTCTCGCTGGGAGGAAGCCGAAGAAGTGTCCGAAACTGGGCCCAGTCCAAGAGCAGAAGCTGCAAGATACTACTATTTGCTTAAGAACCCCCCCGGCCCAAAATATAAATAAAAAACAACAAATTAATCCCTATATTGCCGCTATAAGAAAATGTTCTTTTTTTTATTCTCTTGAGCAAATAGTAGGATAGCCTGAGCGAGAGCCCGCCGTAATGCTCCGTTGCCCGCGGAGCGATCTTGTGGAGTGCGCTGCAAGGACGGCGAGGGCGATGAGGATGGCGACGAACAGGTCGACCTTGCCTCAAGCAACGAGCCGGACAATAGCAAGGCCTTTCGGGCAGAATTGCGGAAGACTGAGTCCTTCGCCATGGGGGAACCAGTAGCCTGCAAGCACACGAAGTGCCTCAGCAATCGATGTCATAAATAAACATACAGACCTATGCCCTAAACCCTACATAAAGCCCAAACCCTGAACAGGGGGAAGGGTGAGACATGCTGCAGCTGAGGGTTTTAATCCTTGCACGGGGGCGATGCACCCTAAACCCCTAAACCCCTAAACCCCCTAAACCCCCTAAACCCCTAAAAACCCCTAAACACCCCTAAACCCCCTAAACCCCTAAACCCCCCTAAACCCCTAAACCCCTAGGCCCCCTAAACCCTAAACCCCCTAAGCCCCTTAAACCCCTAAACCCCCTAAACCCCCTAAACCCCCTAAACCCCTAAACCCTAATAACCCCCTAAACCCCCTAAACCCCCTAAACACCCCTAAACCCTAAACCCCTAATAACCCCTAAACCCTAAACCCTAAACCCTAAACCCTAAACCCTAAACCCTAAACCCTATAAACCCTAACCCTAAACCCTAATCCTTGCCCGGGGCGATGCCAGGCCTTGAAAATGGCCAAGCTCCTGGGCCGGGCGCATAAGGCCGAAAGCAGCGACTCGGGCTGCAAAAAAATGGTTTTGAGGGTTTTGAGGGTTTTGAGGGTTTTTGAGGGTTTTGAGGGTTTTGAGGGTGTTGAGGGTTTTGAGGGTTTTGAGGGTTTTGAGGGTTTACAGGGTTTATAGGGTATATAGGGTTTATGGGGTATATGTAGGTCTTTTAGGGTTTTGGGGGTTTATAAGGTTTAGGGTTTGGTTTTTGTTTTTGCCTTTTTTGCCTCGACGCGAGGCCAGTCAACAGCGAAAAAGGGAGGCTGGGATTACGAGGACGGGCCTGCGTACCTTTGACAAAAGTTGAAGAGAAGCTGCAAGTACGTGGACGTGTACGTATGTGCCCTACAGTTCAGCGCTCAAGCTGTGTCCTCACAAATGTACATATACTATACACGTACATGTTATATCGATTTTGTAGGTAAATACAGAATACATAAGTATAAGTACAAGCATAAATAGAACTAGGTGTGTGTGTGTATATATGTGTCATCATCATCTTCTTCATCATGCATGCATACTTTTTGGCCATGGGTTCGGATCCCTATAGAGTTACCTTCCGTCAGCATCTGATGGGTCCATTTTGCTGTGTCGTGGCCCCTGAGGACAATCAGAAATGGGATTACTCATGGCAGAAATGGGACAAGCAGCCTCGATGGGGTGGAGGCGGCTTTGGGCCGGCCAAACATGTACACAGAAACGCGCAGCTTGATGCACAGTAACCCCTAAACCCTAAACCCTAATCCCTAAACCCTAAGCCCTAAGCCCTAAGCCCTAAGCCCTAAACCCTAAACCCGCAGGCAGCAACTGGCGCCAAAACGATCGGGAAGCCGGGCGCCGCAACCACTGGGACAGCTCTCAGCGCGACAACAACGCCCGGTCTGCACTGCAGAAGAAGCTGGAGAGGCCAGTGGTGGCTGCATTTTAGACTTCTTGGGCCTAAACTCTAAACCCGAAACGCTAAACCCTAAACCCCAAACCCCAAACCCTAAACCCTAAACCCTAAACCCTAAACCCTAAACCCTAAACCCTAGTCTTGCAGCTCTCTAGACTCTGGAGAGTATGTCCCCTTCTTGGGTAGCCGACATAGCTGTGCCGACGTAGAGCCAATAACGGTGTAAGACCACTTCAAAAGCATGCCGAGAGCCTGCCAGTACCTCACCCCAAGATGACCTTTAGGGTTTAGGGTTTAGGGTTTAGGGTTTAGGGTTTAGGGTTTAGGGTTTAGGGTTTAGGGTTTAGGGTTTAGGGTTACTTATAAGAAGTAGGGTTCTGAGCAGGTTTAGGGCCCGTGCACATTCAAGTATCAGAAGTTCCGGGGCAGCCCCAAACCCTGAACCTTGAACCCTGAACCCTGAACCCTAAACCCTAAACCCTAAACCCTAAACCCTAAACCCTAAACCCTAAACCCTAAACCCTAAACCCTAACCCTAAACCCCAAACCCCAAACCCCAAACCCCAAACCCCAAACCCCAAACCCCAAACCCTACCCACCCCCAAAAAAACGGAACCCAACTCCGGTTCCCTGGTGTACTCCGAGGCAAAGAGGTCGCAACGGCTCTGCAAGCGCTGCAGGCCGAGGTCCGGTTTTGGCGGGGCGTCCTTCTGGGACGATATATCGATCGATAGATATATCGGTAGATATATATATATATGGTATATATATATATATGGTATATATATATATGGTATATATATATACGGTATATATATATATATATATATATGGTACCCCCTCCCCCAAAGATCTTCCTTTTTTTTTGTTTTAATGTTTTGGGTGTGTTTTAGGGTTTTAGGGTTGGGGGTGGGGGGCCATCTTAATATGTAAGTGGTCGTATATTAACCGTGAGCCCGATTGAAAAACGATTGAAACGATTGAAATTCAATCGGGGGCCGGATTGAAGATTGAAGATTCCCAGCAAAAAGTTTTCCGGGAATCTTCAATCTTCAATCCGGCCCCCGATTGATGTAAAGTCTCAGAAGTAGATCTCGTGATGTCGCTCAAGGTCATATGTATTCGCAGACATTCCACTCGAAGTATACTTGACCATTTGTGTTTGTAATGCTCGCAATGGCTCGCAGCCCAGTTGCTGGCACAGGGGGGGGGGGGGGGTCTTTTCTTTTGCCTCTATACTTTCACATGATTCACACGACTTTTCGCAGGAGTTCTTCTGAATTTGCTCGAATTCGTATTAAGTGTGGCTCTGTTACGTTGTTTTTCCTTAATAAACTGTTTCCTTGGTTGTCCCTATGAAAAACCTCTACTTCCTTTGTATTTTAATAGGGTCCTCTATATGTTTTCACAGGATTCTCATCTGTGTCCATGCATGTTTCATTATTTTTGATTATTATGGTGTCCATTCATATTTTAAATATGGTTTCTATTCATATTGAAAGGATTTCTACTCAACTTAATAAGATTTCCACTAAGATTCACAGGATTCCCATTGATTTCCATTCTTTTTAGTTTTAGTAATTACGGTTTAGAATTTACTGTTGATAAGATGCATGCTCGGTACGTAAGGTTGCTCTGTGGTACGAGCTGCACTGATATGGAATATACCCACCATCTGTGCAGAACAAACATACAACGCGCCTCAGAATTGTAGTATGCTTGGATCTTCAGGTTTCTTGGTATACAGGTTGAGGTTTGTGTTGAACCGCACCCTGTACTTAAGTCGGAGACCGAGTTTGGAGTTTGAGATTTGTGTTGACAGCACCCTGTACGCACGTCGGAGTGCCTCAGTTCTAAACTTGCAAACCCTAAACTCAGGAGGGGTTCATGTTAAGGTTTTTGGGTTAAGAATTTCAATACCTGTAGCCCTCGCCCTAAACCCTATACCGGAAAGCCTAGGAGAACGCCTGAGTGTCACCTCCACACAGTAGCTCTATGTAATCACTTTGTAAGACCAGATATTTCTTATAGTGCTCATGCTGAGAAAGAGTCAAGGTAGGGTTTAGAAATGCATAAATGTATGAAAAAGGGTAGATCTTTGGGGGGGGGGGTGTAGCATATATATATATATATACATACATACATATTATTTTTTGTGTGTTTATTTATTTATATCCATACTTATGTTTACGTGTATTTATTTGTGTATGTATTTTAACATGTGCATGTACTCGGGGCCTGGGGCTTGTCCTGTCCTTGATCAGCCGAAGCCCTAACGCGCCTCTTTCCCGAGGCCATGGTCTCCTGGACTCCCTCCATGAGCTTTTCCTTCCGATCCGTCACCCTCAAGTATGTATGTACGTATGTATGTATGTATGTACATATATATATATATGTATATATTACACTGTACTGCCCGCAGCTGCCAGAACTGTTCAAGCTTTCTCCTTATTTGTGGGGGTTCATAAACATCATGAATTAGCTTCATGTTTTTATCCAGTGCATTAAAAAATGTTTCATGTCTATTGTTATTGCTGATATCTCATTGTCTTTTCTTTCTCGTTTTAAATGATAACAACTACTCTGTACTTTTTTTGTCACCTGGCACGGCGATCTGTTTGGGTAAACATGTGTATGGCTTGTTCTTTGTGGATTAAAAATTGTGCCCATCTTAGTTGATCTTGTCGCCCATAAACGCTGCCTTACGAACCCAAACCATACTTTTTTGTAGGTTACCTAGGAGTCCTCTCAGGATTTCTTTTAAGAAAGAGCCTGCAACAATGTAGGTTTAGGGTTTTTTGAAGGTAAACCCTAAACCCTAAACCCTAAACCGGAGGACCATACAGCAACCAGCGCACTTCCAAGAGCAAGCATCCTGGCTCGCACAGAGAGGGCTGGACCAGCTTTTTCCTGCACGGGTTTAGGGTTTTAGGGCTTAGGGTTTAGGGTTTAGGGTATTCCACATTTAGGGTTAGGGTTTAGGGGATCCCCGAATATAACCCAAGATCCCGCTCGAGCCCAGGGGTCATCGCGAAACTGTTCCGGCCATGCGGATCCAGAAGAAGCCTTCCGCGCGGGCAGAGAAGCGTGCCCGACAAAGGCAAAGGCACGAGACAGTCGCATGCAACTGCAGAGATGTCATAGAGATTTGCCTAAACCCTAAGCCCTAAACCGCCTTTTGCGTCCAGTACATGCCTAGTCTTCCTGCTCAGGCAGCGTCGATGACATGGCAAACCTTGGTTTCTCCTGATCCGCAAGCAGTCATATAGCTTTGATACATGCATATCGCCAACTCAAAGCCCTCAACCCAGATAACCTCAGGTATAAATATCAATTTTGTAACCCCAAAGGTGTAGGCCAGAAACGAGATGATGTTCTCAAGGCTGCAGCAGTCTCATGCAACATGAGACGGCTGGGCTGGCTCTCTACGTTGTCGGAAAAATGGTGTGGCGTGCACCTTATCAGAACCCTGAACCTACGTGTGTGTCGGTTACTACTAGAAGGCTTAGGGCTGCGTGTAATACAGGGCCTAAAGCTTCGGGTTGTATAGGACCTGGGTTATTCGGTAGCGAACAACAAAGCAGGCTTTGGGTTCTGACGACACCTATACCACTTAGCAGCGCACGGTAGGTCCCGTGGGCGCCTTGAATATAAGCTCTAATCCCGAAACCCTAAACGCGTGGTCGCGTGGCGTGCGACGTACTTTAGGGTTCTGTAGGGTGCTTTGACTGTTACTGAAGCCGATCCGGCTCACCGAAAGTTGTCAAACACACTGTGCCACACCAGGTCTTAGGGTTTAGGGTTTAGGGTTTAGGGTTCAGGGTTTAGGGTTTAAGGTGGCTCGTTGGCATGCAGTCGTGTGACCCCAACTCGCACACAAAGTAGCTGAGCACATTTCGGCAGAGTCAAGCCATGGCCGATGTGGAGGAAGGAATGACACTTTTGGCCGAAACTCTGGGAAAAGCTCTGGGGCAACCACTTTCCGACATGAGCCTGACACACGAGACGCGCGACACGTCCGCAGACGTGAATGCCTTGGATGACATGTCCTTTCACTCGACCGTGACTGTCCGAATGATACATGGCGAGTATACAAGGCAGGCCACGGGCTATTCCGAAGCGAACTCGCGGCACAAAGCTGCCATGAGTTTATTGCAAGACTGGGACCAGATCTTAGCGCAGGAGGCCGCTGCTGGAGTACCTCCAGCAGCGGCATCAGACGACGAGGCAGCAGGAGACATCTCCGCCGCCACCCCAGCAGCCTTGGCAGATTCAGATCCAACGAATTATAAGAGCATTTTGTCACAGTTTATGACGAAGGTACTGCAGCGCAGCGTTACGAAGGCAGACATGGAGTTTGAGACCCTAAATACTGGAGAGCAGGAGAACAAGCCCGTTTTCAAGTCCACTGTCATTCTGACAATGGACGGCCGCACGCAGAAAATCAGCGGGCCTGCAATCTGTGGCCCAAAGAAGGCAGCTGAGCAGAGTGCAGCGCGCCAGGCACTGCAGGAATGCCCCGAGCTTCAGCCGCTTTGGGCATCCGCCGTCGCCGCCAGCCAGACCCGCACAAGTGCCCCAAGTGCCCTGAGTGTCCCAAGTGTCTCAGCCGTCTCAGCACACACCGCCGACACGACGGACGCTTTGGAGGAGGAGGCGACAGCTCCGGCGGACAAGCGCGAGGTGAGCCCTGATCAAGACAGTCTCCCGGCTTCTTGCCCGCAGATGGAGGCATTTCGCATCTCTGGCATGCTCTAGCTTTTGGCAGGATTGGCAGGGATTCCCTGAAAGGATGCACAAAAGCCACCCATGTGCGATCAGCGTCTGGTCACGTAGTTTGAAACATCAGGACGACCTCAAACTACGATTGGCGCAGGAGGCTAGGAGACAGGGATGCGAGCCAGTACTTCAGATCGAAACCGAAGGGTGGAGTGGCGTCTTGCTTGGAGCTGAGAGCTGCAGGAGGTACGTGTCCCGCAAGATCTAGCCGAGTTGACGGAAGCAGAGGTGGAGGACCCGAGCTCAATCTGTCCATGGTCCTTCATATGTAAGCCAAGTGTACCTGAATCGTATGCCTGTGGCCGGTGCTAGAGTCCAGGGTTGACTTCGAAGTTGACGGACTGACTGCAACGCCAGACTCCTATGGCAGTTAGCATCTTCTGACATGCAAAGCACGAAAGACGAGCTATACAATGGCAACCCTAAGCCCTAAATAGCGCGCCTCGCAGTCAGCACCCTTGTTTTAAAGACCCCAATCAGGTACCCCCTATAGTTTCGGACTCCCCCAAATCGACTACTTATTTCTTGTTCGTGGGGGTGGCGTTTGTTTGTGTGTAGAGACGTGAGAGAGAGAGAGAGAGAGAGAATTTATTGATTGCATTTTGCCGCCCTTGCAGGACGCCTCATGTGTATGAGTGGGGTTTAGGGTTTAGGGTTTAGGGTTTAGGGTTTAGGGTTCAGGGTTTAGGTGTCAGCCTCGGGTTCGTTCGACGTCCAGGATGTTTGGTATCATGAGCATGGGCCATTGGCCGGCCTAGATTTTTGGCACCCCTGGTTTAGGGTTTAGGGTTCAGGGTTTAGGGTTTAGGGTTTTGTCCGGTTTCAACAGGGTTTAGGGTTTAGGGTTGGTTGGGTCGGTTGGGTCGCACATTTGGGCTTAGAAGTTTCAAGGGTTTGGCGAGTTTCACGCTGCGGCGCGTGTTTTCGAGATCGTGGCTTGAGGATGTTTCAGGCATAGGCGGGTATCCACCCAACTTGGGGGTAGGGTTTAGGGTTGAGGGTTTAGCGTTTAGTGTTTAGGGTTTAGGGTTTAGGGTCTTCCCTTCGCTCACCTGCCCTTCAGATTAGAAGCTTCCGTGACCCATGACTCAGCAGATGCTTCTTATCGGCTCCTGAACTTAGCCAGAGCGCCCCAGCTGCTTGCTTCACTGGCGCTTGGCTGCCCCTGCACCCCTCCCACGGGCGGACAGTTCGTGACCCAAAACCCAACTTGACTCAACACTTCTTTCTCAAGAAGAACTAATCATGACCCATCAAATATAATCTTTCTCGAGAAGAACTAGTCATGACCCATCTGATTTCGGAAGACTGCGCGAGCAAGAAGCTCTTGAGTCTGTTTCAACGTGATTCCGTCAGAGTCGCGGCAGACTGTAGTTCGTCAGTCTCCGATACTCTTGCTGTTGGTTACTAGGGAATGAGTAAATTTTATCCCCCTTTGTATACCCCTCTAAACCCGAAACCCTATAAACCCTAAAAACCCTACAAACCTTAAACCCTGTAAACCCTACAAACCCTATGAACCCTATAAACCCTATAAACCCTCAACCCTAAACCCTATAAACCGCAAACCCTAAACCCTAAACCCTAAACCCTAAACCCTAAACCCTAAACCCTAAACCCTAAACCCTAAACCCTAAGCAGCAGACAAGCCAGGAGCTGGGCCAAGGGCTGAAGCTTGGGAGCAAAGCTCGGCTTCGGGCCCTTTATCGAGGTTCGCACAGGGTTTCGGGTTTAGGGTTTAGGGTTTAGGGTTTAGGGTCCCTTCCCAGCAAGTTACAGTCCAGCCTGGGTTCAAAAAGGGTTTAGGGCTTGGGGTGTGGGGTTTAGGGTTGGGGCGAGCGTGGGGCAGAGGTTTGTGGAGAGTTTCGGAGGTTGCTGCTTCCGGAGAGAATCGATTGTGTGATCTCGGACTCTGCTTCTTCCGACGTCTAGTTCTACGCGTGAGGCGTGAGTTTTTTTCTTTCGTCACGTTTTCACCGAGAAAAAACTGAGAAACCCGATTGGGCTCATGAAACCTGACGGGTTGCCAAGCGTTTAGGCATGTTGATGGTGCTTTTCGAACGTTTCTTGGAACCGCGTTTCTTAGATTTCTTGCGCCAAAAGACCGGCAGAGTGAGCACAAGAGAAAATCAGCAATTCCGACCAATACTTGCAGAAACTGCGTTACCTATGAAACGTTTTCGATGTCGCATTAGAAATCAGATAATAAGTAGGGTTTAGGGTTTAGGGTTTAGGGTTTGGGGACTTCTTCATTGGTTCATAGGTTGCCAATCAAGATGGACCCTACAGTAAGTTATGGGGTGAAGTCAGTGATGGACACTGGGCGGGCTTCTCGCGATGCAGTTTTGCGGAAGAGAGGTTTGATTCAAAGTCCGACCGCAGAAGTTGAAAGACGATCGTTTAGTCACAGAGTAGGGTTGTTCAAAGCGGCAGTGACTTAGCAGGACTTTACCTTTGGGCAAGGCTATGACCGTTGAGGATACTTGGAGGTTCATGGTACTTATTCACCAATTATAAGTGTACTTCTAACCCACTTAGAAGCCCCTTAAGTGCCCGAATATGGTTATAAGTACACTTAGAAGTACAGTAAAAATTGGTCAATAAGTACCATGAACCTCCAAGTAGGCTAGGGAGGCAACGTGCAGGGGATCATAACCATTGCTGCCTGACTGCAGGCTGTCGACAGACTTCCTCGTGAAGCGTGTTCCGCTGGCTGGAGGCAGGGGTGCTTGTGGAATGAGAGGCTTGGTGGAACTGTCTGGCAAGGACACCTGTATCACTGCTAGGCAAGGTTCGGTTCCCAGCTTTTTTGTAGCCAACTGGCAGCCTGGTGGCCTCGTTCCCTCAAGCTCCAAGATGGAGCTGTAGCAGGGGGAGGTGGGAGGTGGCCGATGGTGACGCTCAGAACACCTCAACATGTGTAAGGTGGGCTTAGTAGCCCAGTGGCACCCTTTACCCTTTTTTTCGGTTCTGGTACCCTCGTTGTAGTATGGCTGCCGGGCTACCAGGTGGGGAAGAGGCAGCGCGCAGCTGCACACGTAGAATGCCCAACTGACAGAAGGTGGCACCTTAACATGGCTAAACCCTAAACCCCAAACCCTAAACCCTAAACCCTAAACCCTAAACCCTAAACCCTAAACAGGCAGAAGGGTGCTCTCTAGGCCATGCTGTGATTTCCCTGGCACAAAGTGGTCCTCCAAAGGAGGGTTCCATCTGGTGCTAGCTTTCCAGCTGCCTGTGAACGGCATGAAAATGTGCAGCAAACCCTAAACCCTAAACCCAAACCCAAAGCCCCACTCTCTCTTTGTAAGCAGACAAAAACACAGCAACATACTACCGGAATACGATTAAAAGATAATTATTATAACATAACAATAAAGACTTGCATTCCATGCTTGTTGCTGTAACGGGCAGCTGGAAGCCTTAGCGCAATGCCATGATGGATGATGGGCTGGAGGCCTGCGCCAAGTTGTTGTTTCTTGGGGCCAGATTTCGTGGGGACATGGGCATGTGTTATGCTTCCTATGCATTGATAGGAAATGTAGTAGTCCAGGGTATATGACCCCAATGTTAGGGTTCATGTGGTCGCTAGGGTGGTTGGACGGCCTCTTCGCACATCTCAGAAGAACTGGCTAGCAATTCACAGCAACGGAGTAACGTGGTACCATTGAGAAATTTGAGAGGCATGCGGCAGAGCAAGCGATCAGAGTGCCTGTCGTGCGGAGACGGAGGTTCGAGGTGCAGGTCGGATTTGCAGAAGCAGCAGGTCATAGCAAAATGGCAGGAAATGAAGTGGAGACAGGCCACATATGACATATGCGTCATCTCCTAGATGGGCGCTGGCAGGATTGATTCATGCACCAAACCGTTCGCAAAGACCACGGTGCCCAAGGCTTGACACAGGTGAAGGCAATGGAAGCAGGCTCTAGCTTGCCACGGAATGATGGGCAGACATCAACCTTTTTTTTTTTTTTGGGGGGGGGGGGGGGGGGGGAGGGGAAGTAAGCCGACGTTCGGCGATTGAGCTGCGCATGCGCAATTCGAACACCAGTTTGACTTGAGAGTTCTTTTCGTTCAACCTCGGCCCTAAACTCTCTTCAGCTCCCGCTGAGATCGCAGTACCTGAGCTGTCACGCTCGCTGAATGCAGGTCGACCCGATTTGGGCGCCGCGTGCAGGGGATCATGATCATGACCACCATGATCCAAGGAGCCCCCCCCCCCCTCTGCCCCCGTTGGAGTTTAGTGTCTTGGGTTTATGCAAAAGGGTACCATGACCACCATGATCCCCCCCCCCTTTTTCCGGTTGGGGGTTTAGGGCTTAGGGGTTTAGGGATTAGGGTTTAGGGTTAAAAAGGGTTTAGGGTTTAGGCTTCAGGGGTTTTTCCAAAGTTGTACCGTGCATTCTCGGATTGACCTTGGGGAGTGTCGCGCGCAGGCGCCGGTCAATGGGGATGACGACGGCAGAGCATGCAAGGGCCACCTTGGAATTCCTGGTGGCGCAGGCGAATCACTAGGGGTTTCCTTAGGGTTTAGGGTTTAGGGTTTAGGGTTTAGGGTTTAGGGTTTAGGGTTTGGGGTCAATCACCCCTCCAGGTTCCACTTCTTTTAAATGCGTTTACTACGTAGGCCCCTTATTGGGATATGTTCTCTTTTCCCTCTAGTTGGGCAGTCATGTTTAGAGGAATATCTTTCAGACGGTTCTAAGGGCCATCCTAGTTTAGTACATGTATCGGCGTTCGGCAATCAGCGGCTGCTAGCTTTGCTGAAGCTTGACGATGGCTTGTCATAAAAAGCACCAGTCCATGACAACCGCAGCAGAGAGCAGATGGGCCAGATGGGGCAGGGGTAGCCAGGGGGTAATCTTAGTTTAGGGACTTGTTTCGCCAATTCCGAGCCATGTCCATACGTGGCGCGCTGCTTGTATGGGCACACTTCCTGCCATCAAGTGCTTGCATCACGGAGTTCAAGACGAACCCTGACTTCCTGGACTATTCCGGGTATGCCTTCAAGGTCGCGCGAGGTGAGGCGATCCCAGAGCAAGTGAAGGAGTTCTTCTACATGAGGCATGACCCCTACGTCATTCAGCTGACCAAGTACGCCATGTTCACCCATCAGATGCTGACGGCATGCTGGGCCGTCGGCGGGCGCGTCTGGGAAGTTCGGCTTATGCTGAACCAGACGCTTCATGCGGATGACGGCTCAGAAGGCTTGCATACCACCGCATGTGCTCCACGAAGTTGCCGGGGCCATCAGGTTCTGCAACACATCGCCTTGAAAGTCATCACGCGAGACTTCGATGCTGTGGCCCCTGGTCGGCTGAGAGGGGTTGTCCGGCCCCTTTCTAGCTGGCGCTTCGTGAAGCTCCGCTTTGCCATTGTGGGTATGGGTGGTTGTGGGACCACCTCGCTGCAGAAGAACCTGAAGCAGCATGCTGACATCCGCTTCACCCGCCGGGATGACAAAGAGGAGACTTAGTATGAGAGTATGCAACCTTTAACCTTTTTGGGGTAATACAATACCCCGTATAATCCAAAAGGTGAACCTTTCGTTCCCCTAGGTGCTGGACAAGTAAGCTAAGGAGACCTTGTTTGCCCCAGGCTACTCTCACGAATACACGGGTGGCTTCCGCATCTTGGTGGGCCCTTGAAATATTTTCCATTTTCCCTTACCCTAAACCCTAAACCCTAAACCCTAAACCCTAAACCCTTAAAGATGGTACGGGGCGTTTAAGGGCCATCCGAGGCATGCTGCCAACGGAAGCTCAAGTCAACAACATCAACTGCGGCAAGCCGAGATGTGGCCCCAACGTACCTCGGGTCAAGGCCTTTAAGCCTTATAGGGTTTAGGGTTTAGGGTTTAGGGTTTAGGGTTTAGGGTTTAGGGTTTAGGGCTACTTGAAGCTTCAAGGGTAGGTAGAAGTGGGGTTCTAGGCAGGGTAACTATGATTAAGACTTGATATAACCTTCCTTATGGTACGTATAGCACTGCTTATAACTACGCACGAACCTTCAAGTAGCCCTAAACCCTAAACCCTAAACTTCCTAAACCCTAAACCCTCAAGGAGTTTCACTTGGGCCTAGCAGGACTCCGCAGTAAGGACGACTCACCGACTGCCTCACCTATCCGAGGGTGAGCGATTCAACCCTGAACGACTTAGGGTTTAGGGTTTAGGGTGAGGTGTGACTTTCCCCGGCCGACTTCCCAAGCCCGGATGCAACAAGGGTTTAGGGTTTAGGGTTCCCATTGCAAAAGGATCTAGGGTTCAGGGTTTCGGCTCCGAGGGTCAGCTGAGGATCTCGATGCAACGAAGAAGCTGGGACTGAAAAACTACATGCTCTACAACTTCGACTTCGGCTTGGCGACCCTGTCTCTGATAGACGACGTCATCGTCATCGCCCTGGTCTGCGATCCCGTGGATCGGCTGGAGAAGGCCAAAAGAGGGTCCATCTTGGTAGTACTCTGATGGCATTATAGGTACCCCAAAAACCATACTAGATAGGGGTGTTGGGGGTGCCCAATTCCATAAGAGTAGTACACGTGGACACTCCGGAAGGTGATGTTCTGGAGCTACTGCCAGTTTAGCAACACCTCGCGCTGCGGCAAAGGGGTCATCATTGACGAGATCATGAAGCAGACAACCGTGGCAGCGGTAGTTCAGCAGACGCACGCTTGAAATCTCAGCCTCACCTTTGGATGTAAGTCCCCCAAACCCCCACGTAAGCCCCAAAACTCCCTAAACCTCTTTAGTCACGTTGAGTTGTGTGCATGTTTGGAGCAAGGCAGAGAGACCACTGGGTGGCAGCAGAGCGGATCAACATCCTTTACACCCTCTTCCGGGAGAGGGCGATTGTGGCGCATCAGTCGCTTCTACGGGATCGCCCCGAGCTGCTGTATCGTTTGCTCTTCAGGAGGATTGGTGTGGCACCGCCAGCTGGCATCCAGTACCACCGGTACAACTCGGTGGGTGGAGATAGTACCTTACTTCTCCAACAGCTGAACTTCAAACTTTTTGGGTTTAGGGTTTAGGGTTTAGGGTTTAGGGTTAGGGTTTAGGGTTTAGGGTTTAGGGTTTAGGGTTTAGGGTTTAGGGTTTAGGGTTTAGGGTTTAGGGTAGTAGGGTAGTAGGGTAGTAGGGTAGTAGGGTAGTAGGGTAGTAGGGTAGTAGGAATAATAAAACTTGAACCCCTTTTTTCCCCTGGCTGTTGGAGAAGTAAGGAACGGGCCTCTGTCGGAGAAAGAAGGTGCTCGCGGAGTTCCAGGTTCACCGGCTGGCACTAGAGATCTTTACCGGCTCAATCTTGAAAGCCACCACGTTTGCTTGCGGTTTAGGGTTGGTTTAGGGTTTAGGGTTTAGGGTAGTGGTAGCCTACAGAACTAGGTGGGAAGAGATTAGATTTATTAGATGACTAGAAGGCCATCTCATGTTACAGCCAGGCGGAGCTCGAACCCGAGTACCAACAATTGGAAGCCGTGTTTCGCGACATGCGTCATCCGGCGATCCCCGAGCTGGAAATGCGACAAACTCGCTGCAACCGTCCCCGAGAACTTCGGAGAAGCAGGCGATGCATCAATCGACGGTGCGAGTAGCAGGCTTGTGGCATCCGCCTGAAAACTCCGGCTGGGCTGGGTGATCGAAAGAAGTGCAGAAGGACGAAGAGATCGAGATGCCATGAGAGCGGCGCGGCACAGCAGTATCGAACACGCCGGCCACCAGATTGTCACCAGAGCAGTTGAAAGCGCCCCACGGTCATCGGCTTGCCGGACCTGTGCATCGTTGCCACACTTCTGCAATCTTAGGGTTTAGGGTTCAGGGTTGCCCGGTGTGGGATGGCAAGGCTGAGCCCACTGAGTGACAAAAAATCGCGAGAACGAAGGCCATCGCGGAACAAAAATGAGTCTTGTGGCCCCCTGAAATGAGGGGGAGGCTTTGTGCTTAAAGCAATATGTCAATGTGGACATCATGTGAAATGCTTGCCTGTTTTGTCGAGGGTTTGGGGTTGCTTTCTTTCTTGTGTAGCAGGATGCCACTGGTCGCAGCCTCTCACCTCACTAAAGTGCGTAGTCTGCTTAGTCTCTTGGGACCCCCCTCAACTTGCAAGTGCCATTGCTAGGCTCATGTTGGCGAAGAATTCAGCCGTCCTCAAGAGTCTTGTTGCTATAAGTCGAGGAACGACAGCGCAGGCAATACCAGGACCCCTATATCCCCATGACAGTAGAAATCTGGATGATGCTCAAATCGGCATGTCGGCATATCGGAGAGCGCGACTGGTGCCCGATACTTCAAGAGCTTTAAAACCCTGAACTCACAACCAGGATGGGCTATTAGGCCTTATAATCCCCGTAATGAACCCTAATAAGGGCCTTTTAAGGTATTCTAGTAGGCCTTATAATCCCCGTAATGAACCCTACAAAGGGCCTTTTAAGGTATTCTAGGGTATAAGAGCCCATCCTGGAATGCTTCTGTCAGGATGAGCTCCCGAAGAAGAGCGCCGTGGAGAAATTGCTCCTGAGCCGATGAATCTGACAAGAGATCACTTGAGACATTTAGGGTTTTTTTTTGACGTTAAAAAAAACCTGAGGTTTTTTTTTACGTTAAAGAGCCCTAAATGCATGTTGCCGAGAAGATGGGGAATGATGGCCCATGCCCATTTGTGCGCTTCTGCGTTCCTCACAGTTCCAATTCCGGAGCCCGGATAGAAAGGAAGCGGCTGAATACCAAGGCACGACATTGCCTTGGAGGCGAACTGTGCGACAATGCTAAAGGCATGGTTTCAGCAACTTGGCTCGGCAAGACGGCCGTTTCCTGCAGTTTCGATTGCCGAGCAGCCTAGTTTTGCATCACGACACATGCCCCGGCTCTCTTTGCTGATTCGTGATGGTGGGCTAAGGCACCTGGACAAGGACCAGAGTGGACGTGCCCTGGCAAGCAGACCGTGAATCACTGAACCGCTCGACCCTCCTGGTGGCTAGTCGAGCGACGCTCTAGGAGCGAAGCGGATGCTCAGCCTAACACAACGCCAAGCAGAACCAGTGGCTCTCTGTCGTTGTCCCCTTGCGACTATGGTTTGTAGTGCCAGTTCGCACCAATATGACAGCCGTAGCTCCTTAAACCCTGAACCCTTGCGAGGTAGCAAGATGTAGCCACTGAACTGATGGTGCCGTATCATGACCTTCAACGTGCCGGCATCCCGGATTTAGGGGTAGCATCCGTCGCCATCGTGAGTTCCTACTATAATTTGTTTTCAGGAAAAAAGCTGACCAATCCATACTGGGATTATGAGCTGCCCGCCCAAAAGCAAAACGCCCCGCTTGACTTGTAGCACGAGGCCAATAACGTTGAATGTCCAATAAGATGGCCGTAGTAATGTGACACGACCATGTAAAATGCCAATTTCGGCGGGTGATGCATGAAATGTCCCATCCTTTCCTTATTCAAGGGTTTAGGGTTTATAAGGGTTAAGGGTTTTGGGAATGCTTGGCCGTCCCGCAGGCATAGACTACTCTGAGTTTGACAAAGGCTTGAAGGACGCTCTTCAGAGCTGATCTGCGGGGACCAGATGAACCCTAAAACGGGGGTCATATACCCTCTGCTACCGTCAAATCCTAGTATATTGTATGCGAACCATAAACCCTTTTGGGGTTCATTCGTTCCTCAAGGTTGCTAAGTTGATGCCAACGACTTTGGTCATCTTTGACACGGGAAGCCCTCAAGCGGTTCCATACGCGTGAGTGAAGGTCCTCAGCCCTACAACCCTCAACAAACCCTAAACCCTTAACCCTTAAACCCTTAAACCCTAAACCCTAAACCGGAGTTTTGTGAGGATGGAGATCTGAGGGGTTTCGGAGCTGTGCAAACCCCTAAACCCCAAACCCCTAAACCCGAAACCCTAAACCTCTGAACCCTCAACCCTGTGTCAGGAGATGAAGTTCACGGGAGGTCCAAAGCAGACTCTGAAGCTGTGGCAGGATGGGCGGCACCCGATTGCCTGATGTCATCTTGCTTCTTTCTTGCATCTTTTGACTTTCCTAAACGCTAAAATCCTTACACCCTCAACCCTAGAACCCTAAACCCCATGTTGCCGTTTGATTCCCTGCAGTGCGATGTTACAGGCAACGAGGGGTCTAAGCCCTAAACCCTAAACCCCAATGCTAGGGTGCGCTCCCCTCCACGCGCAGGAGTTGGACGACGACACATCTGGGGCAATTTCTTTCGACGAGTACACGCGGCCAGAGGAGGCGTCCTGTCAGGGTTTAGGGTTGAGGGTTGAGGGTTTAGGGTTTAGGGTTTAGGGTTTAGGGTTTAGCGTTTAGGGTTTAGGGTTTAGGGTTTGGAGGTTCATGGGTACTTGTACCCCCAGTTAGGGCCTACCTGGGTTCATGGGTACTTATAAGAAGGGTTAGAATAGCAGGGTACTTATGGTTAAAACCTTATTTAGGGTACTCGAAACCCCACTTCCAAGTACCCATGAACCCTTCAAGTAATCCCCACTACGTTCCATGTTTTTCAGACGGCGCATGCGTAGAACCACCTGGGAAAGTCCTATTGGCCGACAGCTACCTCATCACGATGATCCCTTAATGAACTGATTGAGAGTACAGTGTTCGGCCCGGCCCGACCACCATTGACAGCAGCACAGAGCAATTGAAGGAGGCATCGAGTAAACCCTGACGCGCAAGAGAGTTCATGTGGGTGGCTGTCAAAATCATGATCCCTTTTTGGGGTACCCTGAGTATTAGGTGCCGTATTATAATAGGGATCCAAAAAGGGGACCATCGTTTTGACAACCACCCATGTGATGAATAAGAAGAACCTCCTAACTATTTTGGGGGGCAATAGAATCCCCTTAGACTCCCAAAGGTTGACCTTTAGTTCCCTTGGGTACTGGACAACTAGGTATACCCCCAACAGGGAGGGACCACAACCCTGAACCCTAAATCCCTAAACCCCAAACCCTAAACCCTAAACCCTAAACCCCTGGAAACCGTAATGTAGAGAAGCGACCGCGCCCTGGAAGGCTGAGCTTTGGCGGTCCTTCTGCAGATTTGCTGGATCCACTTTTCTCGGGAGTAAAGATACTTGGCCGCTGACCTTGGGGAACATTTTCTAGGTCTGGGGTTTAGGGTTTAGGGTTTAGGGTTTCACACATGATCATGGGGCCTACGAAGGTCCTGCTCAGGAGCATCTCCGGAGGTTAGAATATACAGGGTCCATCGAGGGACATTCTGGCGTCGCTTGCATGCGGAAGACATGAGGGAACAAGTTTAATCAACTCCTTGACATGTCTTTGTCTTGGACCTCTCAAGGACATGCTCAAACGCATGCAGAAACACTATGCCGAAGTCCACGGCCTGGACAAAGTGTCAGACAAGGCCCTTTGGGTTTAGGGTTAAGGGTTTAGGGTTTAGGGTTTAGGGTTTAGGGTTTAGGGTTTAGGGTTTAGGGTTGAGTATGGCTTTTCCCAAGGTCTTTGGGGTCAGCAGCCACGCCTGGCTCCGTATAGAGCTTCTCGTGATTGCACGCCTGAAAAATGACCCCAAAACCCTAAACCCTTGGTACTTTGCAGGCTCTATCCGAGCAGGAGTTCTGCGAAAGCCTTCCTGCGTTTGGCTGGACCGAAGGCTTGGGTTGGGAGTTGCTTGTTATAAGAAGCTGAAGGAACGATTCACGTCACCGAATCAGAAACCACTGGCGCTCTTCACTCAGAACGCTACAGATTTATCAGGGACCTCAAGAAGGGGTTTGCATGAATGGCTTCTGCCCCATACGAACTCGAGGATTGTGTTGATTTTTATTTTCTTCTTGCCTTCTTCGTGCCGCACGACGGTCAGCACTTTTGCTCAACTCTGCCCCTAATTCCCTACACCCGGGGGGTTAAAAGTGTGAACTACTAAGCAAGTACATCCCATGAAACGGCCTGCCCCCAGAATGGGCCGACCAATTCCAGCCGGTCGCCTAAGGGTGGATGCGAGTGAGGGTCGAGTCGGAAAAAGTGCGGCTGAGGCCCCCAGAGACTCCAAAACCCCTTAACTAAGGAAGTTCCCTTAAATTACCATAGGAACCCTAAGATGATTTAAGGTATATTCCTTAATCCCCAAACCCTAAACCCGAAACCCTAAACCCTAAACCCTAAACCCTAAACCCTAAATTAAGGGGTTCTAAAGAGTCTCTGAGGCTGAGCCAGAGTCGAGACCAGAAAAGCCCCTGGGTCGAGAACGCAGTGGACCCCCGAGTCGAAAACAAACAAGCCCTAAACCCTAAACCCTAAACCCTAAACCCTAAACCCTAAACCCCAAACCCCAAACCCCAAACCCCAAACCCCAAACCCTACGCTATTACCTTCGTATCGTAAGGCCAAGAGGCCATGTTTTTCGATGCTTTCTCTACCGCGAACGAGCATGAGGCGGGTCTGCGAGTTGCCAAGGACCAACTGAACCCTAAAATTGGGTTTAGGGTTTAGGGTTTAGGGTTTGGGGCCTATCAGAGTCATATACCCTCTACTACTATAGATCCGATGAAGGTATATGAACCATACACCCTTTTTATGGGGTTCATTTGGTCACCAAAATAGGCCTTCACCTGCGATTTA